CTTCATGATACTATAAGCTCGTTTTGCGTAAATCGGACCAAAAATTAATATTAAAAAACTGAAGGTAGCCGGACTAACTATGACATTGGGACGTCAAACATCTCAGTCCCCCCCCGTGACCATGGGCGCTGTAAAGCACCCGAAACGTCGGGATAATAATAAAAATAAATTAAAGTTATTAAACGCGATAAAATCCGTAAATAATAGTTTTATTCAATGTGTAGTGTTCGCGTAAATTTAAGAAATCATTATGTGAACCAGTACGGACTGGTAATAGCAAATAAAATTCGCCGATTAGAAGATCTTAAAACCAAGCGCGCAAGATATATAACATCTTTAAATTTCTTGAAGAGATGCAGAGACCATAATCTCATTCCTACGTGTGTCAAAATATCAACAAAGAAGGACATTCGAGGAAGCGCTAAGATCTTAAATCAGGCAAGTAAAAAGTTGTTACGGACGGTGATTCAGCAGAAACGGTTCGATTTACATTTCATAAACAACACCATAGACAATTTGTCCAGTGAACTAAAGACAATTTTAACGACATTTGATTTTAATAATTGCATCGAAACTTTAAACAAACGAGAAACATCAAAATCCAATGAATGCAAAAATAAACAAATAGAAAAATACCAAAAATTAACGATCAAATCAAATGCCAAACATCCAAGTCAACGCCAGAACAATAAACAACCGTTGACCATAGACACAAACTATAAACAACGCACTGTCTGTAATTTGTCAAAACATACACTGGACGAACCGACAATGAAAGTATTAGCGAAGGGAATGAACTTCGCATTAACTCCGCGAAAAATCCCGTACGAAGAAATTATCTGCAGTGTTGAGGATTGTCTGTTTAAGAATAATATCGGTAAGGAAGATTTGGAGGCCATACGTCAAGATATTTCGTCCTTGTTACGTCGCAGTTCAGTGCCGAAACCAAACCTTCCCAAAGACGAATTTACAGCGCTAAATAACTTACGGAACAGACCAGAACTCACGATTCTCCGCGCGGATAAAGGAAATGCTACGGTAGTAATGGACACGTCGGAATATAATTTTAAAATACAACAACTTTTATCGGACGAAAGTACATATAAAAAGGTCAAAACAGACCCTACAACTAACACGCTTAAAACAACTAGCGATTTAATAAAGAAATACTCCGAAAAATTAAATCTCGACGTGAATTCGCTAATACCATCATGTGCCAAACCACCGAGGTTGTATGGGTTACCGAAGATACACAAACCAAACGCTCCACTACGTCCCATAGTGAGCCAGATCGATTCACCAACTTATAAGCTGGCACAATACTTAGCAAAAATACTATCACCACTGAGAGGACATACCAGAGCACACACAAAGGATTCATACCATTTTGTGAGTGAGATAAAAGACCTACATCTCGCTAACAATGAAACTATGGTCAGTTTTGATGTTCAGTCACTATTTACATGCCTACCTATTGTGGACTGCATCTCAATTGTAACTAGGAAGCTAGAAGAAAATAACATGCCTCAAGAATATGCAATACTACTTGAACATTGCCTCACATCTGGCTATCTATTGTGGAAGGAGGAGTTCTACAAGCAAGTAGATGGTGTGGCGATGGGCTCACCTGTGTCTCCCATAGTCGCCGACATATTCATGGAGGACTTTGAGGAGAAAGCCCTTCTTACTGCTCCTGTAAATCCAAGGTTCTACAAGCGGTACGTAGACGACACTTTCACAATTTTACCGTCTGACAAAGTAACTGCATTTTTAGACCACCTTAACTCCATAAACTCTAAAATACAATTCACAATGGAGTTAGAGGCAAATAATTCTTTAGCTTTCCTAGATGTTTTAGTCATCCGAAATCCTGATAACACTATTGGTCACACTGTGTATAGGAAAAAGACCCATACCAACCGATATCTAAATGGTGAATCTCACCATCATCCTTCACAGTTAGCTACCGTGGGTAAATCTTTGTTTCAGAGAGCACGAGGGATCTGTGACAGAAAACATCTGGCCGCGGAGCTTCAGCACGTCAAGCAAGTATTGCAAGACAACAAGCTTCGGGTCCCGCGCCTACGTCACAGTGAACGAGTGAAGCCGGCAACAGTCGAGCGCGCACCTGCTCTACTACCATATGTTGGAGGAGTCACGGACAAGATTGGCTACATCTTGAAGCGAGCGTCCATTAAGACATACTACAAGCCGCTGAAGAAGATTAGTCAATTTTTACCATCCATCAAATGTAATATTCCTCTACAAGATGCAGGTGTGTACAAGCTAGATTGTGAATGTGGTCTCTCTTACATAGGTCAAACAAAGAGATCTATAAAAACCCGCGTGAAGGAACATATAGCTGATGTGAAGCACCGACGCTCCGGGAAGTCTGCAGTCTGCGAACATGTTCAAGATCGTCCCCACCATTACATTAGATTTGATAAACCACAAATTCTCGCAAAAGAACACCGATTCCTACCAAGGATGATACGCGAGGCTATTGAAATTAAAAAACATCCAAATTTCAATAGAGGAGATGGTTGGGTGCTACCATCTGCTTGGGATCCTATAATCAACAAAATTAAACCCAAACCCAAGCATACCACTGCAAGACTTCATGATACTATAAGCTCGTTTTGCGTAAATCGGACCAAAAATTAATATTAAAAAAACTGAAGGTAGCCGGACTAACTATGACATTGGGACGTCAAACATCTCAGTCCCCCCCCGTGACCATGGGCGCTGTAAAGCATCCGAAACGTCGGGATAATAATAAAAATAAATTAAAGATATTAAACGCGATAAAATCCGTAAATAATAGTTTTATTCAATGTGTAGTGTTCGCGTAAATTTAAGAAATCAAAAATGTATGTAAATAGATAAAAAATTGAAAAACAAGTTATTGGTCGCTTCCCCTTCGTCTCCACAATCACAAACCTAATATCCCATTTAGTCGGCTTTTATTACATGTAAGGCAAGTAACATAGCTGGCGCAACCTTTTAACTCCTTATAGATATTATATATCATATCATTGACGTGACAACATCTAATAAATCGATAAACGCCGGCTGCACGCACGAAAAAGGATGATTCATTGTAAAGTTAGTAAAATCTACTGCGCACTTGCCGAATCGGTTATCGGTTATCACCTACTGCATATCAGTTTGGGGAGGTGCGACTAGAACTAGTTTCTTAAATCTGGAAAGAGCACAATGAGTTCTTCTGAAAGTAATGTTCTTCCTGCCATAGAGATCACCAATGGATAGCTTATATTTAAAAAGCGGTGTCTAATCGGTAAGAAAGCTGTACTTACTGCGTATTGTGACGAGAACACACAAATCAATTTACTACGACCCAGGATAAAGTAATCATAGGACGATAGTTAACATTGTTCCGCAGCCCCGGGTTAAATCGGTATTTTCAAAGAGGCAATACAACAGCCAATCTGCTTACTTATATAATAAACTTAATAAGAAACTATATATTTACCCTGTAACATATCTTGAATGTAAAAAGACACTAGAGAAATGGTTAATTACAAAAAACTATGAAGAAATCGAGAGTATCATTCATCACTCATAAGCGTATCTGAGTGCTATGCAACCTTTGGTGACAGTTTTAGAAAGCTATTCATTGAACAATGATAACTTCCGATCCCAAGGTCACAGTCGTAGGGCCAATAAACCAATATGTGTTATATTCCACATAATAAAAATAATTTACAAGGGTACATATTCAATACATACATACAACACACATACACACACACACACCCACATGCACGCACACGCACAGGCACACACGCACACGCACACACACACACACACACACACACACACACACACACACACACACACACACACACACACACACACACACACAAACCATATTTTGTAACTCTAAAGTCGTCCAATAATATAATAATAATCTGCCTGTATTATTTTTTATAATACTAATTTTCTATTATTTTTCATCTCCACTTAATGTTATATACCCATTATTTGGAAGAGCGGTGCTTCCTAGTACAAGCAAATCCTTTGCTTAAAAGGAAGCTCCAACCACAATATGTTATGTAATAGATTAAGTTATGCAATAAAGAATTTGAATTTGAACGTTACACTCATTGTGTCGTTACGATCGGAGCGAGAGCACTGCACGAACGAGCGAGAGGCACGATCGGCTTGAGCGTTCGGCTTGCGCCGCATCTATCTCTCTTCCACAAAGTACGCAATCACTTCATCAATGTTTTGTTATGACGTTGTATCGTCCGTAAACCGACTTTACATACAACCAATTTATTTGTCACGTCTGTAATCCCTTGAAAGAAGTTATTGATCGCTTCGCCTTCGCTTTCACCATCCCCCTTCTTTATATAGAAGAGGGCGCAAACGAGCATGCGGCTCACCTGATGTTAAGTGACTACCGCCGCCCATAATCAACCGCAACACCAGGGGAATTGCAGGTGCGTTGCCAGCCTTTTAAAAAGGAGTAAGCTCTTTTCTTGAAGGTCCCTAAGTCATAACAAGTTTAATCAACTTTTACTACATGTAAGGCAAGTAATACAGCTGGCGCAATTTTTAACATAAACATAGGATCAATAACATCTCTGACTAACATGGGACAAAATAAAGTATATATTAAATTTTTTTAATCTTTTTATGAAATCAGAAATAAAAGGTTGGAAAACTTTCTTTTTGAATCGTAATTATTCAATTCCTTTATTTTTCTATTAAAGGTTTCAAGACGAAAATAATTATTAAAATACAAACACAGGCGAAAAATTAAAAAAAAATCCTGAATTAACAAACTTACAGGTTATTTATAATACACAATAAACTCTGTGATTTAATTTGAAAATTCCATTTCACATCAATAATTACTAAATAAATTTTACATCTGTGAATTCAATGTTGTTTTAATAATCCTCTTCTTTACTTTCTATATCTTCTTCTGGAAGACACCACATGTTAAATCTTTTCCAACCTCTTGGACAAACCCGTGGATGAGTTTTGTTGGTGCTGTTTGAATTTCTTGTTTTGTTACTTTTATCACTGTTAATTATAATATTATACGTGTCACCTTCAAGCCGCTTTTGCATTGGTTTATCTGTTAAATTAAAACTGTAAACCATTAGCAAAAACTCCATTAATATGAAAATTATTATGGTAAATTTACAAAAGTTCTTCATTCTTTTTTCCTTGCAATTCTTCGAATTAAACTGTCTGCCAGAAGGAGATTGCGTTAATGATGATACACGTATCACGTTATCAATGTTATTTGGAGAGTGTTCTTTTTACACTAAAAATGTTAAATATTATTCTGAATGAAATATTTAGGTTAATATTTTTTATTTTATAGAATAAGAGGGACAAACGATCACACAGTCCACTTAATGGTAAGTGCATGCTGTGGCCCACAGACATCTACATTTATTCTCGATTAAGAATCAAAATGCAGATACGTTGTCACCCGTGAGGACCAAGATGCAATGCCTCGTTTCCAGTAAGAAATGGTCTCCGGATATCTTTTAATGCTGGTATTCTTTGAGAGTTTGGTCCTTCCCCGGTCAAGCAGACCCATGGTTTTTTATTGTCCTAAAAAGATCAAAGGATCATGTTAAATTAAAAACTAACATAAAGAAACCATTAAGCTGTTGGGACTGTCTCCACCCGAACCCACTCACTATCTACGTATCTTAGTCCATAAACTTTTGTTTGTTTGAAATAGGCTGTGAGTTTTATGAGGTTTTCTCTATATACACACACACACACATATATATATATATATATATATTTTTTTTTTTTTTTGTTTTTTATATATATATATTGTGTGTGTGTGTGTATATAGATACAAATATATCTATTCTGAGAAGAACCAGCGAGAAGCTCAGCATAACATGATTATTTTAAAATGAATATAAAACATTACAATTATAATATGATATAATTTATTATGAATTATTATAGAAACATCTTGGTGACGATCACCCCATTCCCAGTGATTAATAATATTTGTTCAGTAATATTATAGTGAATAACTCTTATATAGATAGTTTTTTGTATGAATTTGTTTGAATATTTTGACCTATGATTTTGTTTTATAAGAGTATTCATTTCAACATGAATGAAAAGGAGGCGAGAGAGGTGTGTTAGGATTATGCCAAATGGAAGTCCATAGTCTCTGCCTACCTCTTTGGGTGACAGGCGCAAGTGTTTATTTTTTTTTTAAATGTTTTATGAATGATTTATGAATTCTTTGGAGTCCAGTAACTGAAATTACAAGATTGTATTTGTTCGTAGTATATTATAGTATTGATATCTCTTTCTTTTCCAGTAAAGCTACTTGTATTTTACTTACATAAGCAAGCAACATTTTCATAAATATTGAGAAGGTAATATTAAAACTTGGGATCAAAAGGAACTTTTAGGTAAGGGCACTGGAAGAATATGAGCGCTGTGGTTATCCTGTAGGCATTATTTAGGCAATCGTGGGTGTCATAAGAGGCGACTGAGGGAAAATAAAACTAGATATGGGGAATAAAAACTTTTTTTGCCAACCCACTTGCCAAGCGTGGTCACTATGGCAAATATACTCCCCCTATAAAGCAATATATTGTGATAGCCTATGTTCAGCACTGAAACTTTGATAGACTGGTGGTTATGGTAAAGGTAAATATTTAATACAAAAATGTGGATACTATTATGTAGCATCGAATAAGGTTGTCTCTTTCTTTCAAAAACATTTATGTCTCCAAACCTTTCTCTCGTAAACTTTCCAATTAAGTTATAAGTTATTCTAAAGGCTTTCTTTTGTAAAGCAAATGTACTCGTAGCTTCAATTTTACTTGCGCTTACCTATGGTGAAACTTTTCGAAATCATGTTACTTAGCATAACATAAATTGAAATCATGTTAATATATGCAAGACGAGCGCCTTGTGGAAATATTATTTGATGATCCATTGGATGTGATATCCGCCAGTATACTTTTATAACTGAAAGGTTATCTCTCCTGACTTGTACAGTATAAATACATTATCTTCAAGTGAACAATAGTTAAAAATATTTAAGTATATATTAGTGAAAGAAATGTTGACCTATCATTAAATTTAAAAATTAACATCTTAAAAGCCCAGAGAGTATCTTTGATGAAACACAAAGTTAAAAAATGTTCATTTTTTATCATTTTTTGAAAAGCGATTTTAAATATTTTAAATAATTATTTACATGATTTTAAATAAGTTCGTATAAAAATATAGTTTACTAACTGGGTCGTTGATTTAGCTGTCGTAAGCGCGACCACTAATCATGTGGTTTCGGAATTGAATCCAGGTTCGGGTTTACAAGGTTATTCTGTCAACAATTCTCAGTGGCAGCCTGGAGTCGGGAAGTTAGCAAAGCTTCACCCACGTGCCTTAAAAAGCACGTAAAGCCATTCAATTTCAAGTTCAAACGTTTGTTTGCATAAACATTGTTTCTTAAAATTTATTTTGATTTTTCCACATAGTCTCCTTGTAACTCTCCTCACTTCTTCCAGCGAGGCTCTCATCTCTCTAACCCGTCCAAATAGTACTCAGCGTTTTTCTCTGCAACACAATTATTTACGAAGGTGATTGCATCCTCATTTGACGAAAATTTCTATCCTCCGGGCGCAATTTTTAGATAAAGGAATAATAGAAAGTGGCTTGAGGCTGGATCTGGTGAGTAAGGTGGATTGTTAAGCAGTTCAAACCGTAATTCGTAGGTTTTCGCCATTACAACCGCTGAGGGGCGTTGTCATGGTGAAACATGATTTTCTTTTTCTGCAAATGTGGCTGTTTTTTCGCACTTTCTGCCTTTAGTTTGTCAAGTAATGATGCGTAGTATGCTCTTGTAACGGTTTTACATTTTTGAAGATAATCGAATAATACAACTCCATGACTATCCCAAAAAAACAGCCGCCATCACTTTCCTAGCCGAAATAATTGGTTTTTCTTTGCAGTCCACTGTTTTGACAAAATTTTTGTTTTGAGCGTATAATGATGTATCCAAGTTTCATCTACAGCAATTAATCGGCGCCAAAACTCGGATTTATTGCTGCGTCAACAGAGCGTTGGAAATGTTCATTGAAATGAAAATGAAAAAAATGAAAAAATGTTTATTTACAGCTAAGGTGGTACAGATCACAATATACAATATAAGACAATAAAATGCAAGCACAGTAGTCTTAATTCTCTAATATACAATTATTATAAACTATGATCTTATCACAACAACTAAGATGGAGTGTATAAACAAGGGTGTATAGTGCTGTGGTCCTCACACTAGGCATGCCTGTGTCGTGAGGGCCAGATACGATTTTCTTATCACACGTGGCTTTCATTAATTGACACTGGGTCGACGTACGGTTATTACATTATGTAAGCTTTTTGTTTTTAAAATAAAATAAAATATAAAATGAAATAAATATTTATATTAAGTTAATATGTATAAAAACAAGTAATTACAGGTAAAATAATATTGTTAGTAAAGAAAATACTGTTATTCACAAATATTACAATAATTAATAAAACATATATGCATTAGAACTCCTATAGATACATATGCATATTACATACTGTATTCATATATTTTATTTACGTAAATATATGATAAAGATTACGGTTTAATTAGGTTTTCTGTACTATCGTAGCTCAGAGTTAGTAACCATTTTGTTATGGTTCTTTTAGCTTCCACCACTGATTTTTCTTTTATATCGCAATACTTGAGGACGGAGTTGTACACTTGAGTTCTCACGAATTGCCCAAAACGTTTAGAAAAAGCAGAGTTGATAGCGGGAGTTGGCAAGCGGAATACTCTTCGTTTCAACAATGTCTTATACTTTGGAGATGCCAGTGTACACTTATGAACAGTTACGGAGGTCTTCAATATGAAAAGTTGTCTTACACTTAATAGTCCACTGTCCTTATATAAATCAAAAGTTGAATATCTATACGGCTTTTTTAACATTACTTTTATAACCGAACGTTGCGCTCTCTCAACTCTGATCAGGAAAGTTTTTGCTGCACTTCCCCAGCAAGTAATACAGTAAGTTATAAGCGACTGGCATAGCGCAAAATACACAGATCTTAGAGTATTTAAGCCCGTTATGTCCCGCAGATGCTTTACAACACCAATAACCTTCCTGACTCGAGCCGAGAGAGCTATTATGTGATTTTCAAATGTCAGTTTATCATCAACGAGGACACCGAGATATTTAATTACATCGGATCTACTCAAGGTCTCACAGGCACACGATTTGCTTGTGCAAGAAGGCTCATGAATCTTTACCACTGTTTGTTGTACTGGCGCAGTGACTGCTGTCTTATGAAAGCATAAGTACACAGTCTTCTTGGTATTTAGGGTCAAGAGATTATTTTGTAGCCAAATAAAGACCTGTTTTAGACCTCTTTCAGCACTGTACAAAGCATCGTTCCACGTTGAGCCATGGAATACGATAGCAGTATCATCGGCGTAACATATTGTTTCGGCGTTTTCCATGGGTAGGTCATGTATATCATTGATATAGACTGTGAATAACGTAGGACCAAGTATGCTGCCCTGCGGTACACCAAAAGGTACATTTTGTGGCAGACTCACAGCCCGACCAATCCTCACACACTGTTTCCGGTCCGTGAGATAGCTCTGAAACCAATCACCGGCAATACCTTTAACACCCATATAGTTTAATTTTTTTAAAAGTATTGGAATTGACACTGTGTCGAAGGCCTTGGCTAAGTCTAAGAAAACGCCAACACAGCTCTGTTTAGAGTCAAGTATTGATGATATCGTAGATGTTAAAAGGGATACAGCATCTTCAGTACACATGAACATGTTTTTGGTCTAACGTAATCAAAAGTGGCACCCAACGCGCTGAAAGTTTTCTCATGCCTAAATCTCGATTTAATATGCGACAAACACGTTCTTTAGACATTTTAATAGCCGCTGCTATCTCTCTCACTTTAATTCGGCGGTCACCTAGTACCATTTGGTGAATTTTAAAGTTTTAAACCGTCAGGGAGATATCCTCGGTGAAAGAGAGGTTTATTATATGCATAAGGGGTCAACTTATATAGCTAACAC